TGCAGTCTTGAGAATTTCACAATTATTTAAAGTTAGAGATGAGCCCCTTTTTTTACCTGCAACTGGAAAGCAATAGGGTCATAATGAAGGTTGGAATTTGACCTTCACTATTGCATGTATAATTCTGCTTTGCTCATATACATTATGCTGCAAAGAGAATCCTTTCAAGTATTATAAACAGAGCTGGTAGATCAGACCTGCTTGTCAACCACATTTGGCATTTTCATTCTCTGTCACAGCCTGATCTGAGTATCCAACTTCTTAATTAGGTTTTGGATAACTTCCAAGATCGGTGCTTGATGTCCAATTATATCTGCAGTAAAATGGCACTTAGAAGTAACTTGCACTTCCAGATAAGAACTTCCCATGATCTGCTAGAAAAATTCCAAATCAAGATGTTATAAAATACTTCAGCATCAATAGAACAGAATAACCCAGTGAATATGTTGATAAAGTGTCTTCCTTGACTTTCTGTCTTCAAATCATTGTAAGTGTTTGGGCTTTGTTTTACCTTTGGCAGAACTTTACTGTTGCCACATCGTTCTGTCTTTAGCTGTCTGAAGTGCCCAGGAGTTTGAGTGCTATAAAGACTTCACAGCATAGGCAGGTGCTTCTGAAGTGACCTCGGATTCTTGAAGAGCCTGTGTGTTTGAGTCAAATTTGATAGACAACATGGCTGCCAATCGAAACCAGTTCTTTGCAATTCATTGGAGCAAGTTTAGATTTAATACCCTGAGAACTGAGAGTTCATTTTGGGTCATCAATTGGAATTAGGTTTTCTAGAGCTGTCTGGACTTGAACCCAGGTGCCAAACTTGTGCCCCTGCAGAGGCCTCTGGCCTATGGGCATGTCTTTCTCCCATCATTCTCTAAAGGGGAGACAGAGATGTCAGGTACTTACACTGCCTTGAGACTTGGCACACTGATGCTGGTGGTGATCCCAGCTGGAGCCTTCATGCTGGTTGCTCTCTGGGGGAGAGTGATGAAGTCAAACATCAGCATCATGAGCAGTGCCTTCAGCTCCTTCATATCTGGATTTTGAATGTTCTGGGTTGCACTCTAACCTGGACAGCTGACAAGCACCCTGAAATTTAGGCTGTTTGAGCCAAGCTGAGCATCTGCAAGTCTGGGAGGGATTGGAAAGTTGGGGATTTATCTTGCTGTTGCAGTTAGTAGCAATACTGTCTTGATTTCTGCTGGCTATGTAATTAGGTGAGTGCTAAGTTCTGTTGAAAATGGTAAACATGTATCACATCTTTACTATCAGAGGCACAGGCTGGGTTTCTCTTGGACTGTGTTTCCTAGTGGTGAGCGTACTCAATGTGCTTCATAAATAACCTTACTGTCAGTAGATGAGTTTTACATGAGCTCCAGAAGTAAGAATACAGGTAGATTAGAGGTCATACCTTTTTGAGTTGACAGACCTACTGAACACTGAATTTCCCTGGATCAGTGCTATTGCAAACTCGGAAAGGACTAACAAGTACGTCCTTAGCAGGCATAGGACAGCGCTGCAGTGGCTGTCTTGTACTGTCTGAAGGATCTGGTGCTGCATGTGGAAGTGTCATGGTGTGCAGTTTACATGTATTCTGCTGCTATAGTGCCCTAGAGGACTGAGATGATAGTATAATGTGGGGAGTGAAGAGATATTATGAGTTACTAGTGTGTAGGCAGGAAACATGCAGCGTTTCTTGCAGGTGATGGGAATGTGCCTCTGCTGGGAAAGTCAACTGGTTTGCAATTGTATCCAAAACTGAAAAATCAGACTGAGACCTTGTCGGGATTGTCCACATGCCAGACTGCCTGCCATCCTTTTCTAGCTGGCTTTCTGCAAGTATGTGGGGTCTCGCATACTGTTATTTGTCAGCCATGAATCATCATTGCTTGTAACTGGCTAAATTGAGGACCAAGGTGCAAGGAGAATGACCCTTGTTAATCAGGGCAGATTGGTTGAACTACTAGGTCACTTTTTATCCCTAGCCTGCAAAACCAGCTTGACAGCAAACAGCAGTCTTATGGATCTTCTTGGGCTCCTGGAGGGAGCCATCTTCCTCTTTCCACTGCAATTTTTGAAGTCTTTATTAATTTAAATCCTACAGGCACTATGTAAGAACGTTTAATACCCACCAAATTGCCTGCAACATAGCAACCAAAGGGTAGTCAGACTTAATGTCACATGTGGCATGTATTACAGCCATTACACAAAGGTCCCCCTCTCTTGCATGAGTGGTTAAGGAGAAGCTGGACATCCAACAAAACTTTGACAAGAACATGGCAAGAGCAGCTTGCTCCTGTCTTAGGTATCCTTGGACCATTTTCCTACCAGGCTGGTCGTGGAAGTAGGAGACCTACGGGGGTTCACCGTTACCTGAATCCAAGCGGTTTGGATTCATATCTCTGTCGACAGTGGTTAATATCCTGCTCCCACAAAAAAATGATAGTTTTTGATGCACTCACTGACAAATAACTTTGTGGGAATGGGAATGGAGACCAAAGAACGTCCCTGCCCTTCCTGATGGTTCACCGGGCTGGACTAGGGACCTTGGTGGTCTCAGTCTGACTGGTTTCTCCAGGTCAGAGCTCATGACAAGGGGACGGGCTTAGTTGGCCTAAAAACTGTCTCTCCAGGGCAGGAGTGAAGAAAGCAGGCTGGTTTCAAAACCCTACCTCACCACTCCCTGGGTGATTTGGGCCAGGAGGAGGGAAGGTCGCGTAAGGTACTTGGCAGAAGGTGGGAAGTGCATATGGGGAAAGACGCTTTGTTTCTGCCGGCAACTGCCCACTCTGGCAAACACAGCAGCAGGTAGGGCCCTGGCAGGGGGTAAAGGAAGGGCTCTGGCCGTAACCCCTCGCCAGGCTTTGTCTGCCATGCAGATTAGGTGGAGGGCTTTTCTGGCTGAGCGTTGCTAGGCTCTTCCCCCCTATTGACTTGGTGGAGAGGCTGAGGGGGGCGGGAGGGAGGGACTGCATTATATTGTTTCTTTGAGTTGTTTTTTCCCCCCTCTATGGGGAGATGGGCTTGATCCACTGGTTTTGGATTTCAGAGGCAGAAGGCAAGACATGACCAGCTGGTGTCTTGAAATGGCACAGGTGCAATGGCTGCGGGAGGGGGGAGCCAAGAATAATTACAGGTTTCTGAAGCATCAGGCTTTGCCTGAAAAGGGCTCATCGAGAAACTGCTCTTTATGGAAAATTAATGGTGAAGCTGGAAAAAACTGTCAGGCCCACTATTGTTGTCGTGGGGTAGTGCTGCCTTAAAGGAGCAGCACCTCCTGCTCGCCTCCTCTCCATGGGCAGCCTGGAGCCAGCGTGCAGCTTTCTGATCCCACAGCAATTGAAATTTCATGTCACTGTCATCATATTTAATGGCCCTGAGTCCCTGTCTCTTTTTTTTTTTTTTTTTTTTTTCCCCCTTTCCACCACTAATTTGTGATTATGCTTACTCTTTCCTTTGGAAGCCTTTTATTTATTGGGCCCTTAAACCTGTTTCTACCCCACTGGGTGAAGGCTAAGTGGGCCAGAAAACCCAAATTACATGGTGTGGGGAATTCAAAAGCATTGCCATTGCTCGTGGTGGGGGCTATTCCTGAAAGACTGGGGCATGTTGGAAAGCTGCTCCTAGAACCTGTTAGGATTCATCTGAGGACAGACCAGATCCCCAGCTAAAGCTATTCCTCACGTTCTCAGAAATGCACTTTAAAAAGAAAACGAAAAGGTTGCTTAAGGCAAGTATTAACTGCTAAGTGTTCCACTGCTGGGCCTGTGTGCAGACACATCATAGATACAGTGTCAGGCCTCTGAAAATAACCTACACACTAAAGTATAGCGCCTCTCACTTGCATATATTGCTGTTCTGTTGCTTTTTTTCTAAGTCCATCTCTACAGCTCAGGTCTATAATCAGCTATTATTTTAAAAAGAAACAACAGATAATGATCTGGCAAATTCTGTTGTGAACTACACCTAACTGTATCTGGAACCAGTAGTCCTGCTTCCTGGGTACATTGAAAGCAATAATCTTGAATTATATGTCAGCTGTTCAAGACCTATGAATGGGACTTCTTTACACTCCTGTTGATGGGACCTTTATACTTAGAAGGCAAGAGTCTCTGTCTCTGGTCATACAAAGCTTTTGGTTCTTGATCAAATACTGGACTCTCCAGGTTGAGACATAGCTGGGTCACCAGCACATACACAGGCTGAAAATTTTTGCCTAAAATCCCTTTCATAATATCTCTAGAAGTGTCCTCTGAGGCATAGTTTTTAGAGGTTTTTAAAAAGTATTAGTTAGGATGTCTCTTTCTCTGTAAGTCCTGTAAAACTGCAGTGGTGGTATTAAACCAGCTAGCCTTTCAGGCAGCGAGAAATGAAAAATAGCACTAATAAACTCCATTAAAAGCTCCTGAAACTACAGCAAACAGTTTTCTATAAACAATAAAAGTTTATAATGTTGGTTATGGAGTACACTGGGCAGTGTGATGGTGCCTGTAGGCTTTATTGGGGCTAGCTCAGGGCACCTCATAATAAGGTACATTTAAGTAGGAGGCTCACCCCATCCTCGTGCTGATGATCACCACCGTGGAGATGCAGGAACGTGTTTTTATGTAGCAGCCTCTTTGACTGCAACTTCACCGGCTTTTTAATAAGTGTGTGTGTCTGAGTGCAAGTCTGGTGTTCTGTACACAGGAGAAGCTCCATTTGACCAGATGTGTCAAAAACCCTCTAGAAACTGACAGGAGGTCCCCTTTTTTCTGTCACATCTTTCCTTCTTTCAGGCCCTTTAAGCAAGCTGTGGTGTCACTGGAAGTTTTTCTCCGTCTCCTATCTTAAATGTTACGCTTCAGAATTGTGCTGTTTTGGGAACAGATTGGGCCCCAGCCAGCTATGCTGAGTTAAATTTGGAGTGAAAGTTAATGTTTGTGAAAGAAGAGGAAGCAGCTCTTCGGAGAGGTGACTTTTTGTTTGTACATGGCCAGGTGATGGGACCGTTAAGATAGTTTCATATGGAAGTGAGTATTGGCCAGATTAAGCTTAAAACTGGAAAGGGCCTGATATCCATGGGACAATGTACAGACTTCCGTGGAAATGTAGTGGATACTTTCTGGTTGTTGTATCTTCACTTCTACCATAATATCTGCTACCGCACATGGATATTCTCACACTTTGTCTTGGAGCAGCATCAAACAAGTGCCAAATCCTCATGTCTCCCAAAATGTGACCATCATGCGAGAAGGTTCTGATGTGCATGAGTGCTGTCTCTGAATGGCTCTGGACCACATTGTTCTCCTGCCCTAGGTGGGAGCTATGCTGTAATCTCTCTCTAACTGTGGTTTCTCTTCCACCCCTCTCCCTTCCCCTCCTGCAGACATGCCTGGAGTTGGAGCGATACCTTCAGACCGAACCGCGGAAGATCTCTGAGACCTTTGGTGAGGATTTGGACTGCTTCCTTCATGCCTCCTCAGCCCCAGATGCAGAGGACAATATCCGACGGCTGGACCCCATCCTTTTACCAGTGGAGACGAGTACATGTGACAAAAGCGCCAACATGGACATTATCCTCTCACGGGACAAGCTGCTGTCTGAGACGTGCCTCAGCTTGCAGTCCACCAGCTCTTCCACAGAAGGCTACACAGCCGTCAACCAGGCCCAACTCAATGCAGTAACCTCATTAACGCCCCCTTCCTCTCCGGAGCTCAGTCGCCACCTTGTAAAAACCTCACAAACTCTCTCAGCGGTGGATGGCACAGTGACGTTGAAATTGGTGGCCAAGAAAACTTCACTCAGCTCTGTGAAAGTGGGTGTAGCAACAGCAACTGCGGGGACGATAAAAAGCGGGCAAAGTGACAGTGAACAAGGAGGTACAGGGGCAGAAGCATCCCCAGAAAACAAGAAGAGGGTTCATCGCTGTCAGTTTAATGGGTGCCGGAAGGTTTATACAAAGAGCTCCCACTTAAAGGCTCACCAGAGGACTCATACAGGTACTTGTGTAGGATGCTTCTCTCATCTTGTCCTCCTGCCACCTAACTGTAACCATCTCCTTTTATTGTCATTTAGAAAAGAAAAAAAAAAAAATCTCTTCTGAAAGTCCAAGCTTCTATCTGTGAAACAGGGCAGTGAAAAAATATGGTAGGCCAGCAAATGTACCCATTATTCAGTAGAACAGAGGAGTTCACTATCTACCGTTAACCTGTGGGGTTTCATATGTCTTACGGGGCTTGACGCAGAGTAATTTTAGGATGCCTAAGGGATGTAGATGTATCATTCATGTTAAAACTGCAGGCACGCCAGTTTGGGATTTCAGCACTCGCTTCCCCAAGACAACTTTAAAAATGTTAATTTTAGTCAAGTGTTAATTGCTTCAGATAGAAAATAGCACGGGTTGGTTTTTGTTGCCTTTTGTATGAGGGAAGAGAAAATGTATTTCAGATCTGAGATACGCAGTTTAGGAATAATGTGTGCATGAGAGAGCATGTGGGTAGATGCAGATGTGTAGGTATGCAGATGCACACAACCTTGAGATGCGATGTTGGACTTCTCAGGTGATAAAATACAGTGAGAATAAATGAAAGAATGACATGAAGTTTGAATGGAATAGTGTAGGTAGAGAGGGAATAAGAGGTATGGAAAGATGTCAGGCTGTTATTTTGGGTAATATTTACTAATGTTGCATGTAAGCTCCACTGTGGAAGCTTCTTCAAGCGTACCGAATTGGTTTAGGTTTGGCTGTTCAGGATTCCCACTATCCTGTCATTTGTTTATAATCTCCAGTAGCTTTTGGGCTGGTATTCATTGGCAGTAATAGCTGTGCAGTTTGCGTGCGTTGCTGCTTTGTTCTAAGCTTCACATGTGATGCGAGATGATAAATTCCCATTAGCACTGTCTTATCATGTGATTATTCTTGTTTCCAGAGGGATTGCTGTAATCAGTTTTCTCAATTTTACTGTAAAATGTGTGGTCTCTTACGATAACTGCACATTTAATTCACGATCTTATCATGCAGGCCGATTCCTAGAAGCGGGGTTGTTCTTGCAAGGTAGAGAATAACATGTTGGACCAGTGCAGTAAATCAAACAAATGTGTGGGTTGTTAAGAGAGCTGCATCCATCAAATGCTAGGCAGCCCTGTAAAAGTTACATGGTCTGAAGTATAAATCATATTAAGACATAAAAGGCATTGGTTTTGATCTTTTTATATGGGCTTTCTAGTGCTTTTACTGGGGATAGCCACCTTGCCAGGAGTGACCTCACTTGTAATCCAGTGATTTGAAAGCCAGTGAAAGTAGTGCAGTCATTTTAAAATCTGCAGCAACGTGGTCAGGAGGTTCCTCGTAGCGCCAGTGCTGCTGTGAGGCTTGCCCCTGCCGGGGCCGGCTGCGGGGACATCCCAGCCAAGGCCTTCCAGCAGGCGACGGGGATCCCATAAAGTCACAAACGCAGAGTGTGAGAGCCGCTGACGCAGTCATCTTGTCTGTTCAGATGTGACCCCTGCATTCCTCCTTGAGCTGGAAGTGATGGGTCTCACACAGCTGTTCCTGAAGTTAACCAGGGATGTGACACGATCATTGAGAAAGGGTGAACTTGTGGAGTTTTTCTGATTTTTGTCACCCAGCAGGTGAAGATGTGGACAAGGAGTCCTGAGAGAGCACTTGCAAAACCCACTACTCTTTCAACACCTCCACCCTTTGGAGTCAAAATCTTGCAAGATTTTGCATGCTTTTGAACCTAGCCTTAGCTCTGGCTGAATTTTGTCTCTGAGGTCAACACTTTTCCCCTTGGTAAAAACAGCATGTGAAATGTTATGTTTTACAATTAATCCATTTCTCACTGGCCCTGTGATACTTCTGTTCAATAGCCTTAGACTATACATAGTGCCATCAACATGTATGTGTCGGCCCATCCACAGCACTGCTCAACATGGTGTGAAAGGCAAGTCCACCTTTGCGGGCACTTGGGGAAGACCTGTTTCAGGTGATGAGACTGCGGCTGCCTGGGTGCAGTGCTGACACCTCCCCCTCCCAGCACTTTACCTAGTGGGTTCAGCTACCCCTCTAATCTTGCCAGGGAAACCATCAGTGGTTAAACCAGCCCCTAAGCCATTTACTAGTTTATGGGAGTGTTCCTTTTTCCATCCACCAAGTCCCAAGCAGATAGCATATCTTGTAAGGAAAGCAGGAAGGTGAAAGACAAGAGGGAATACAAACCTAGATGAGGAGCTCTCCTGTCTTTGCAGCCATATAACCACTCTGCGCCTGACCACGTTCTAGCTGTGCATAGCTATGTAGAAAGCATGGTTTCATTTTGTGATGAAGACTGGATGCAGCCTTGTTGTTAAAATAAATCTTTGATGCAGAACCTGGGAGCAGGTAGGCGCCTGACTCCCATTTTTCTCTGTGGAAAGCAGATTGTCTAAATACCTTTGAACATTTACATCTTGGGAGCAATCAGAGTGAATCGAGGGGAGGGGTGTGATAAGGTTATCTAACTACCTTATTCAAGTCCAATGCACAATGTCATTCAGGCCCCTTCAGTTTGCTTGAGCGCTCTGTTCCCTTAAAAAGCACTGACCACTGGATGCCTTAAATCAGAGCTGGTACAATCAAGACATTAAATCTGTTCACACTGAACTCTGCAGTGGGATTTCCCCTCAGGGAGCTCCTGATTCTGGTAAAAGAGAGGAATAGCTATGGAAATTTGGGACTGAATTATAAATGGCAGGGCTGCCTCCTTTCCTGCCTTCAGGGCTATGGACAAGGAGCCCTTTTCTCCATCGGTGCTTTGTTTTTTTTCACACTGTGAGCTGAGTGTGCTGTGGGTTGCGAATGCACCCAGCAGTGCCGATGGCTAGTAGCCACTTGGCTTAGTCAGTGGCTGAGCCAGAGGGTCTGAAATGATTGCGAGATATTTTCCTTTGGCTGGTAGTTTGTTAGTATGTCATGCAAGAGCAGTCTGCCAGTGCAGACTCTGTGTAGAAGGGTGTGAGTGCCCTGACAGACAAAGAACTCTCAGTGTGGGGTTCACAGGCAAGGAGGCAGATGCAGGCTGGTCACCCACCTCACACGTGCAAAGTCCCCTTGCTGGATCAAAGGGATTTACTGCAGTGTATGTAAACAAGAAAACCATGGGCTGGGGAGCTGGGGGGTGGAAGGCAGCGGAAGGAGGTTGCATTCCTTTCGTTCGTATGTAAGGCTGACCAGACAGACACTGGCTGGCGTTCCTCGCTGCTGCGTGATGAGCCAGGCTGGGCTGGAGGCAGTACAGACTGATAGCAGCTTGCTAGATTGGAGACGATCTTCTCTTAGGGCTTTACTTTCCTGAGGAGCCCAGAAACAATCAGACCCCACAGCGCACTCGGTGTGTCTTCCACATTACTCTCCCACATCTCATCCATAGAAGAATCAGGACAGCGCTGTAAGGCCCATCAATGGTTGAGCTGGTTATGAAACCACCTTCTGGATGACCTTTGGAGAGGGAAAAACAACCATCTGTGTGGGAGAGAATTTAATCTGGAAGGGAAAGGGAAAAACATTGTCTGGATGGAAAGGGAAATGAAAATATTTGACTGAATTCAAAGTAAGCTGGGGCATCTGAAGTGAAGGGTGTGTAAGGAGCTAGGAGCAGTGGTGGGACTGACTGTCAGAGGGCAGCAAAGAATCTCCTCAGGAGAAATAGTGGCTGGGACAGTAAACAGGAGGAAAAGGTGGGCTGTAGGTTTGGAAAGACCATGCTGCCTATGTGAGGGTGAGGTAAAACCATCTAAAGTAGGAGCCACCAGAACTGGCATGGTAATCCAACCATAGCATATTCTCTCACAGTTATTGATGGAGCAGACATCAGTGCAACCAATGACATTTTTGTCTTTTGAGAGACAGAAATTTTTGTCCAGCCCTTACACATGCATGGAGATGACTTGCCAATGTAATGGAGAGTGGAGATGGAAGGAATTCAAATGAGCCAAAACCCATGTATAGTCATCAGTGCTTCTTAAATTAGAAAACAGGATATTGCTGGCAAGTGTCTGGATGCAAGTAAGTGTAAGGGTGAGCTGGCCTGTGACCTATGGAAAGATTAGTCATGGGACGTGGCTGTGTCTCCCAGCTCAAGGACCTCTGGAGGAGATTTCTATCTCCTGACAAAACCATTCATGTCAGCCTTCCTTGCAGTAAGGTATAGAGGAAGGATGGTGTGGGTGCTTTCTGGACAGAGATAAAGCATCACATATAGACTGACCAGGAAATCCTTAGGATTGGGATAGTGATAGAAAATTATCCTTAGGGGGCTCTGCTGGGATTTTCATTTTATGAGTATCAGAAGCTTTTGGTTTTTTTTTTTTCTTTATCCATCTAAACCCAGGATCTGTTACAATCTAAGCTCAAGTCTGAGAAACAGCAGTTGGGCACCTCACATCTATATTTAGGTTTCTAAAGCCTAAACAGGCGGGAAATGCTCATGTAAATAGATGTTACGAGTCTACATGCAATCTTAAGATAGCACTTATTTAAGTGGAGTTTGTTTCACATTGTCAGGACATTTTATTTTAAATTATATAGTTCTTTGATCCAAAGTGCTGGGTGAGAGTAACTAAAACAAACAAATCCACCCCGCAGGAAAACAAATTACTACATTTGCAAGAAAAAGATGAGACTCAAGAGTATTAGAGAGAGCATTAATGAACAGGAAGGTTTTTGAGATGGGATTTAAAACGATTGAGAAGAGCTTTCCCGGAGTGTTGGAGATAGAAGAGGAAGTGTCCAGAATTTGGAAATAATCGGAAAAGACCAAATTGAGGAGAGTAGGCTGGATGATAGATAAAGAAGATTAATATGAAGTAAAGGAGTAACAGAGAAAATGAAGACTACCTGTGTCAGTGATACCACACAAATAGGAAGCTGCATTGCTGTGTTGTGTTAGTGTGGTAGCACTCGTGGACAGAAAGGCAATGAAGAGAAAGAAAAAGCAAATAGTCACACAGCACCAATTCT